GCTATAAAACGTTTTGACGTGCTATAAAAAATTTTGATGTTTTAGCATTTATTTTGACTTTCGCACAAAATTATTTTGATTATTGAACAAAAATTATTTTCAGATCTGGATTTAGCAAAAGTGTTCTTTCCGTGTGGGAACGCAAGATATTCAAAATTAATTGATCCCTCTAAAAATACTGTAAAATAAAAATTAATATCTCTAAAAATACTACAATAATAAGGCTTTTCTACCAAAGTTGAAGAAGTTACGGGATACTTCAGAAATTGGAGCTTATCCGTATATACTTGTTATACTTTTGACGAAAGCTTTGACCTTTATCGTGAGCTTAGAGCAGTCACATTGTATAAATCTCTTATAAATTTGTATTTCTTATAGGTGAATATTTCAGAATGAAATTCGGTGGTGGAAGTTTTGATCTTGCTTGTGGAAGTATAATCCGAAATTATTGACAATATGGCTTTGAAGATTACGCTTAAAAAATAAGAAGTGTCCACGCCATAAAGCAAACATTATTTACGAGATTCATTCTAAGAACTATTTGTAGGTATACTTAGACTCGCATATACGTAATTTATAAAAATCAATCGGTTTTATAATAATTAATAAATTTTAATATTTAGCAGAATGATTAAGAAATGAAGATTATTAATTTTAGTATTAAAAGATATAACGAAAATCCCATTACCCCGATTACACGAGCCATTATTTTCTTTTTCATGAATAAAGATAAGAATAGGAAAGTATGGATGGGAATCCCCACCTCTTTTTTGCAAGGATTATCCGGGACTTTTTATCGAGCGCTGAAATTTAATTAAACCGCAAGGAGCAATTAAATAAATATGCGGCTCAAATTTATCGTGAGAAATTAAACCGTGTGTATGGATGTGCTTACGTGGTGTGCGAGAATGGAAATGGAAAGGGCATTGTACTAGAAATTTTTGACGATTATTGCACGAGGAAACTAAAAAGCTTGCTCACACGTAAAGTTTCTCCGGGGAAACGACCGCAATTGCATCTACATGCATTAGAATGTTTAATTTTATAAGGCCGCCGGCTAATTTCGCCGCTGGGAATAAAAAGCTGGCAAAATCTCATTAAATAAATTAAAAGTATAATTATCCTAAACGCGGAATAGCTTGCATAATATTAAACGGTGTTTCGCAATTGTTTCGTCAAAACGGGCACGCGCGGACTTTCACATCTTACGAAGTGAGGAATAATAAAAATGTGATAAAATAAAGGTAAATAATTCTCAAAAATATATATATTATTGAACTGTTTACGTTCAAA